AAGGACTTCCAGGACTTGAAAACAGCCGTGACAGCCAAATGATCTGGGCAACAAGACTTTTAGCTGGGGGTGTTGTGATAGAACATCAGGGAATCGTTTAAACTAACAGGAGAGATTTAGATGAGATACACGGAAGAAGTCCTTCCCTGTGAGGGTGGTGAGGCCCTGGCACAGGTTGCCCAGAGAAGCTGTGGCTGCCCCATCCCTGGAAGTGTCCAAGGCCAGGTTGGAGGGGGCTTGGAGCAACCTGGGCTAGTGGAAGGTGTCCCTGTCTGTGGCAGGGGGTGGAATGATATGAGCTTTAAGGTCCCTTCCAACCCAAACCATTCCATGACGTTCAGCAATCTGGCTGGAGAGATAACCTCAATGCAAGTACGTCCCAGCTGTGGGATGCTTTGGAGCACACCAAAGGATCTAGAGGTGCTTCTCATGGGAAACCACTTGATCAGGAAGGTCCAGCTGAGAAGCTGCTTCCCCGAGCGCAGCCACGCTCCCGCAGAGCTGACCACGTCAGCATCCACTCCCGATTTTCGGGATCAGGTGGGGTTCTGAGAACCCCCAAGCTGTGCCTTCCTGCAGGGGCTGCGGTTTCGGGGACATCTCCCGTTTTCCAGCATTTTCCTGACCCCTAGTGACAAGACGTGGCTGTACAGCAGCCGCTTAACATGCAGCGCCCAACTCTCCCCGCATAAACAAGGAACAAAACTCACTCCTTAACATGGGAGAAAGGTTTCCAGATCTGTCAAGATACTCACCCTCTGCAACCCCCGCAAATTTGCCAGAAAATCCAACCTGTTTAGCAAAGGCACTGAAATTTGGACTGAAAGTCAGGAAACAAGCTGAATACAAGCAGCTTCTCTTACCCAGGCTCCATCTGTGCCCAGGGAAGCCGAGCTACAGGACTAATCCATCAGCAGGTGAGACAAAACAAGGGGTGGGGAGAAGGCAGTTTTGATGGATTACCTTCCCTCGGGGCAAATGCATCCTGGTGCAGGGAACTGAGTGACCTTGGCAAGACCACAAAATCCATGATCTCACCCCTGCCTGCTACGGACCATGGAGCAGCTCCCGGGAGCTGGAGGACAAGACATGGGACATCAGCTGCCAGGACCCAGGGCCCTCGTTTTTGTCACACCACTGGGTTTCAAGGGCAAACACAGAGTCAAAACAGGATTATTCTGGCCCCACTTTGAGTTTTCACATCTAAATCATGCCAGGTTTCTCCCTGCATGGGGTGGGAATGGGCTGCCTCTTCCAGCACCAGTCTGATACAGGAAAAGTGATCCACAGCGAGTGCATGCAGGTACTTTGGACTCAGGTTTGAATTATCCTCCTCTGGGAAACCTCCCTTCAGTGCAACATTTCTTACTCCCTCATACTGTGATAATCCTTGCAAACAGTCACCTCCCAGTTTGGGATTCAAGTTTTCTACACATCAGAAGTGCTTATGCCACTTTCTTGCCATTTTTTTCATCTCAGCCTTCTCCAGGGGACCTGCCCTCTGCCTGACACAAAGGACCTTCACCCAAAGCATCGTGTGAGCAGACCAAAGCCTCAGCTTCTGCCAGCCTCCAATTTACTTTGTTCGATGCTCTGAGGCCCTCGCTGACTTTGATAAAACGCTGCTACAAGAGGAAACCTCACACAGGAATAATTAACGATTCATCTCTGTTTATTGGGCCCTTTTGTCAACTTAGACTTGTCACAACTGCCATAAATCCCCTCCAGTGCTAAACAAACTCTTTAATTAAATCTTTTGTGCCATGAGACCAGTGCTTCAGACATCAGATGATGAGGGAGTTTGGCCCACCCTGGCTTAAAACACCCTTTGGGGGCCAAGGTTCTCCAGGAGGTGGGGATCCTGTCCCAAGCTGCTTCCTCTAATGCCATTAGCATGGATGCAACTCTGAAAATGTACTCCCAGTGCATTCCTGAGGCACTGCAGCTGGTTAATTGTTTCCCTGCTGAATAAGCAGTTGTTCCCTCCTTGCCCACACACGAGTTTCAGTCTCATCACAGGAGCAACCTCAAAGCCATAAACACAAAGAGAGTTCCAAGCCCACCAGGCAAAAATGTCTTCCCCCGATTTGTGGGTGAACAAGAATCCTCCTGCCCAGGGTGGGAAAAAGAAGTCAGGCATATCAAACCTTCCTCCCTCCTGAATAGTGGGAAGAGGGTGCCAGAGCTGAGGAAGAGACAAGAGCATCAATTAAAGGTGAAGCAAATGAACAGCACACCCAGGGTTTCCTAAAGGCCTTCTCTGTGGAGCAGGGACATCCTGACACAGGGGCTGCTTCACACCCTGTCTCCAACCTCAGCCAGAACTGAACCTGGGAAAGCACAGGATTTAAAATGGTTTGGGTTGGAAGGGACATTACTAATCATCCAGTTCCACCCCCCCTGCCATGGGCAGGGACAACTTCCACTATCCCAGGTTGCTCCAAGCCCCATCCAACCTGGCCTTGGACACTTCCAGGGATCCAGGGGCAGCCACAGCTTCTCTGGGCAGCCTGTGCCAGGGCCTCCCCAACCTCACAGGGAAGAATTTCTTCCCAATATTCCATTTAACCCTGCCTCTGTCAGTGTGAATTCATTCTCCCTCATCCTGTCACTCTGGACCCTTATCCAAAGTCCCTCTCCAGCTCTCTTGGGCACTGGAAGGAGCTCTCAGGTCTCCCAGTTCTTGTCTTGCTCCTTTCCCACAAAGACAGGCTGAGAGAGCTAGGATTGTTCAACCTGGAGAGGAGAAGGTTCCAGGGAGACCTGATAGCCTCTTCCAGTTCCTAAAGGGGGTCTGAGAGAGCTGGGTTCCAAGGGTTACCTGGAAAAGCAGACCCGCAGGAAGATGACTGAGCACATTCTTCATACTCCTAAGTGAGGAGCCAGCACAGACCATGGGGATGGAAAAAAGAAAAAAGAAAGAAACTCAAACAATGAAAGAAATCAACACATCCAAACAACACTCATTGCTCTATTGGACCATCAAAATGTTTCAGGGAGAGTGAAATGAGAAGGGAGAGGCATTCAAAAGGCAAATTGAGATGGGAGACAGAATAGGGTTCTCAACCGAAGCAGATTTCAGGGTCAGATATATTTTGTTAAAAACCTACTGACAAAATAAAAATAACAGTAGGTGAGTGATATTGAAGTGCACCTCAAATATGCAGAATCCCCTGTGGGTCTGTGACAGCAGTGCGGGTTTAGCTGCCACTGACCTCATCAAAGGAGCACAGCTCTAAACTAGACAAAGAGAGAAGGAAAAAGAGCAAAACTCTGCTCCCAGTAAACAGGCACAGGGTGCAAACTGCTCTGAGTAAACACCTTGCCCAACATCCCTCAATTAATAATTAAAAGCAGATCTAAAGGGTCCCATCTCAAAAAGAGAAATTAAAGCAGTGCAGAGGGAGAGTTTCATGCACTCAGAGGTTCAGGAGTTGAAGTCAGCCAAAGGATTCCCCTGCACACAGTTCCACATCCCAGAGAGAGGAAAAATCACAACTGCCCCGTTGACATTTTTTGGACAAGCTCATCTTTTTGAGAGGGATCCCGCCCATGAAAGGTTGGCAGTTAAAGCTGGATTTATCACCCAGGAGAGAAAATGCCATTACAAATGAGCTGAGCCATCAGCAGACACAGTATAAGCGACCTCTTTTCTCCTGATGCTCTCCACCTCTAAGGGACTGAGGTGGTGGCAGGCACTCTGGACTGGCAGCACAGGGATTACCAAGGGAAACAGGATCAGCTCCAGCCAGTCTGGAGCAAAATCCAACAGAGAGAAAGAGGGGTAGCACAAGAAATAGGGGATTTGTTTCCTTCACATCTCCAAATCAATAGGGAGGCCAACAGAGGCACTGTCACCCAGCCCAGGAGTGCTCAAGGCCCTGACAGGGCCACCAAAGGTCACCCGCCCATATTTACAGGGGCTGTGCTGATGAAACTGCCTTTCCTGCACTTCCAGCTTATGCCAAGGAAATATTCTGCTAGCCTTTCCCAACCTGACAAACAATCCCACCTCTCGATTTCATTGCTGGAAACCATACAGCACACCCCCTCCTTTCATCCATATCAGAGCTTCCAGCTTCACATCCACACACAATGATTTTCTTCTCAGGGGCTGTATTTCTCTCCAGGTCTTTCTCCCTGGACAGACACTCAGGGTCTCCCTGGACACAAAAGATGTACATTTTTCCTTTCCATTACCCTGGCAAGGAAACATATAGTGAGGGGGGAAGAAAAAAAGAAAAAGGGAAAGGAAGAATTTGCTTCCCTCTAACTTGCCTGCTGGAGAAACAAATCATCTCTGTGGTACCCACAAACCCATATAGTAGAAAACAAAATCTGCATGAGAGTATATATAAGGGATGTTCGTCACACCATATTAAAAAAAAAAAATCCAGAATTAGCTGCTTCAAGAGTAAAGGAGCCACGAGGGTATAGCAGGGGTCTGAATTCCTGTCTGCCACATACATAAGCACAGTAAAAAGCTGTTGTCAGCACTGGAAAATTGCCCATCACATGAGTGGGTTTAGCAGACGACGAGCTGCAGGACATGGGCACAAAGCCGGCAGGCCTGGAGAGCAAAAATGCCAGGGAGCAGCACAGGGCATCCTGCACACCCCGTTCCCTCGGCAACGGGAGAAAACACCTTGGAAATGCTCAGGAGGGCTGTGCTGCACACGCTCTCCCCTTTCCATGGCTTTTAGTCCACGTGCTGCGATATAATCCAGGCTGTCCCAGACAATGCATCTTGTGATTAGCACTGCCCGGAGCTCAGAGGGCCGGGAAGCACGTGGATACACTCAGCCGGGATCACCGTGGCGCTCATCACGCGTGTTGCCAGCAGCACCCGGTGGTACCTCCTTCAGTTGGCCCTCTCCGTCCTGTTCCACCTTTTCCTTGTGCAGCGGGTTAAAAAAGTGAGCCCGGGGAGAGGGGTGGGTGGGTTCGGGGCAGACACAGCATCGCTTCGGCGGGCAGGGGTTCCCAGAGCCCCTGGCTGGGCATCCCCCGAGCCCCACGACCCTGTGGGGCCCCGCAGGCGGGTGCCCAGCGTTGGGAAGGCTCTGCTGGCCGGGGGAGGACCCGGATCCCTCGCCACGCCTCCCGCCACCCCGGACACGCCGCGGCTGCCGCGGGCTCCGCACGCCGAGCATCCCCCGACCCGCACCGGGCACGCAGGGCACGGACACGCGCGGGCCATGGTAAGTCCCTGCTGGGAAAAGCCGGCTGTTTCTTTAGCCTTTTCCAAGGCAGGAAGGTTTCGGCGGCAGCTCCAGACCCTGAGGAGAGGCAGGAGGGAAGGGAGAAAGGAGCAGAGCGCTGTGGTTAATCAGTAACGCGGGAGCTCCGCGGCCGCTGCTGAATTACCAGAGGCAGCGCCCCGCGGGGTCCCTGCGAGGGGGAGGGAAAGAGGCCGTCAGCAATGATCCCCCCCTCCAATTCTGTAGGGCAAGGACGACCCCCGTGTGTGCTCCGTCTGCACAGCCCGTGCAACACACCCCGGGCCAGCTGGAAATCGGTTTTTCCGCAGCAGCAAGAGACCGTGGGCCTTGCGACATCGTTCCAGGGCTGTGCCCTTTACCTTCTCCCAGGTGACAAGTCACCACTAATATCGGGAAGGAATCCTTTCCCTGTGAGGGTGGGGAGGCCCTGGCACAGGGTGCCCAGAGAAGCTGTGGCTGCCCCATCCCTGGAAGTGTCCAAGGCCAGGTTGGAGGGGGCTTGGAGCAACTTGGGATAGTGGAAGGTGTCTCTGCCCATGGCAGGGGGTGAGACTGGACTATCTTTAAGGTCCCTTCCAACCCAAACCATACTGTGACTCTCTAACTAAAATCTTACAGTTAGGGCAAAGAAGGTTGTTTCATCTCCTGACAGCTCAAAGCTCTCCCAGTTTCCCATGCTGGTTTCCTTTCCCTCAGTTGCACAATGCATCTGCTTGGTTTCCTGCTGGCAAAACATAAAAATCCCAACTCCTCGGCAGTTGAGAGCCAGCAGAAGAAAACAAAATAATTTAATTTCCTTAATGAGAAGAGTGTGTTTTAAAGGACTAAGTGCACTTGAAAGCATTAACATGCCATACTGACAAAACCAGCAGGCTGGGCAATGTGCTGGGATGGAGAAGGAGGGATTGGAGGAGGCTGGAGGGCACAGGGGTGCTCCAGGCAGAGGGTTTGCCATCACAAGACACAGTGGTCAGTGGACCAAACCTCAGTCTGGCCATGCTTCCCACTGGTGCTGGGCTCTGGCAGAGGAGCTGGGCCTGGAAAAAGCCCCGGAGCCTGTCCTCCCACAGCAAAGAAAAGCGTTCAAGAGAACAATTAAACCACGTCCCTCCCAAGCAGCCTGGTTTGCTCTGCACAGGGGAGGCTGGTTTGGAGCCCAGCCCCCGGCATCCACATCCCTCTGCTCCAAGCAACAGCTCCAGCTTTACTCAGCCTTTAGCACCGATACACGAGCAGGTTTCAGCCCCGATCCCAAATCCTGCCCCGTTCCCATCAGTCCCCAGGGCAGCTCCCACGGGTGCCCCCCTGCCTCTGTCCGCACCTCATCCAGTTGCTAAGCTACCTGCGCTCGGCTTATCACTCCATCGGCAGGGAAGGGCAGCGGCTCCAGGTTTATTGTGCTAAGTCATGTTTACTCACTACCTTCCCTCCAAGCCCAGAGCTCGGAGGAGGACAGGGTTGACATTTGGGGGATGGGGAGGGAGGTGACGGAGCCGGGGCTGGCAGGGGGCCGTCCAAAATGCTGCGAGAACGGGCAAGGAAGGCTTTCCCCAAAAATCACGCAGCTGCCACGGGGGCAGAAACCATCCCACCTCCAGCCACCCCACGCTGAGGTTCAGGGCACACCTTGGCACTCTCCATCTCATGCAGTTGGCAGCTTTCTCCAGGCATAAGGGTCACAACTCCACAGACAGGGAGGCACTCACACAGCCATGGGAACAGGGCATCATCTTTCCAATCTTCCTGAAAACATGTAAGAACCACCCCCAAAAACATCAGCTTCACGGCTGCCTCTCTGGTTCTGTACAGCCTGGGAGAAGGTAAACCACAGGAGAGGATGATTTGCCTTAGTTGTTTAAGGTGGTAATTCTCAGCATCGATGCCCAAGCACAGTGTCTCAAGGCCCTGCTGCCCAAACACCCCCAAAAAAGTGGTCTGGATTTGCTGGGACTCACATCTAATTTACCACAGTTTACTCTGCAGCACATAAAGGAAAAGAAATTGCAAAGAGATATTGATCTTTGTCATCACCAACTGCAAGGATCAGGTCACCCAAGGCTGTCAGAGCTCAAGGAGCTGTTGGACAACACCCTCAGGCATATGGTGGGATTCTTGGGGTATCCTGTGCAGGGTCAGGAGCTGGACTTGATGATCCTGGTGGGTCCCTTCCAGCTCAGTAATACTCTGTGATTCTGTGAAAGAATTTTAATTGCCAGAATATAACCTTTCAGAGAGCAATGCCCCTCTACACTCACTCCTGCCTTCCCCAGAGCCAGAATAGATGCTGGCTCGGGTAGTCCCCGTCCCCAAGAGCTTCATTTTAGTTTTATCTTTGCCTATAATCATTTCCCAAAGCCAGGAATTGCTGCTTCTCCACCACCACCCCTTACAAACCAAGTACCAGCAGCTCTGTCCAAGACAAGGCTCACTCACAGTCTCTCCCTCTGCCCTTTTTTCATCACAGACAGAAACAGCCTCTTGAACTCCATTGTAATAGAAGGGAGATGGAAAAGGAGCTGAACTGCAGTTTAGTGTGACTCATCTCTGACTGATGCCACTTCTTTCCTCTAAAACAGGCTCCCAGTAAATAAATATATAAAATAAATAAATAAATATATAAAATAGGGAAACATAAAAGCAATTCTCTGATGTAGAGACCATCACAGAGTTTCAGGTTTTGGTTTCCCCCCCCGAAAATTATCTGTAATGTATTTTGGAGCTTAACCTCCCACAGGTATCATTTCTTAGTACGTCAGGTTGTAACAAGGACATACAGACACTGTGGGAGGTGAGAGGACAGAAGGGACCAGCTGGACCTTGGACACATGCAGGATGTATCCCAGGCAGGGAGCAGAGGGCAGCGTTGATATCCCACCCCTCCCTCCCACCCTGCAGCTGCCTCTGTGTTCCCATAACTGCAGGATCCATGGGATGCCTCGCTGCTCTGAACAGCTGCTCCATCATACCTGTGCCACACTGATTCGCTTTTCTTCCCTTCCCACGGTGCCAGGCAGGAAAAGCCCACAGGCTGAGCACGGAGGAGAGGGAGCAGCTGCTGCCAAACCTGAGAGCTGTGGGGTGGAATGAGGTGGAAGGCAGAGACGCCATCTTCAAGGAGTTCCACTTCAAGGACTTCAACCGGGTAGGAGCACCGGTGGTACATGTTTTACAAACTGGGAGACCTGGTTTGCAGAGCAGGGAGTCCCCTCTGCAAGGCTCAGCCACAGAAACCCCCCCGTGTGTCTCCTGAAATGTGATGGCTGAGCAAGGTAACCTCCCCCCAGACACCAAAGTGGTCAACTCAGCACACAGTTTGTCTGGAGAAAAACTCCTCAAAAAAAAAAAAAAAAAGGAAAACCCACAGAAAACCCCAAGAAAGACACGGAACATCCCAGGCCTTGCATTTGGTTGGGTTATCTAAAAACAGGTGGTGTAAAATTAACAGTAATGGGGTGAAAAGCAATATACTGCAGGGTCAGTGGTTCAGAGTTAACTTCCCTTCTCACTTCACAGGCCTTTGGCTTCATGACCAGAGTGGCTCTACAGGCAGAAAAACTGGATCACCACCCTGAATGGTTCAACGTGTACAATAAGGTAAGAAACAGGGATGGTGGGGGCAAAACAGAGCTCTTCAGTGAACAGATCCCTTTTCTGAGGGATAAAACAGGAGCAGCAAGTCCTGTTCCCATCAGCAGGACTTCTTCCCTCTGATGCTATTCCCCTATCCCAGACAGCCTCCAGCTTTCACAGATCCTTTCCCTCCTTGTTTTTCCCTGTCCAGCTGAGCAGGAGCTTCCCTGGCCAGTCCCAGGGGGTGTCTTTTTTAAATCATATCAGAAGTAGCAGGAGTAGTAGGGGAGAAGCTTCTGGGGAAGGAGGGAGTTGAGAAGCAGGCACAGTGGCTGCTGTGACCGAGGGAGGGGTAGCAGTGACAGCTTGTGGACAGGATAAGCTGCAGGAAGGAGAAAACCAGGCAAAGTCCCAGGCCACCTCTCCCACCCCAGGAAATGTCTGGAGCCACCTGTGCCTCACCTACAGCACTGGGGGAAACCAGCCCTGCTCTTTCTGCCAGCAACACTCTGTCTGTCTGTCTGCTTCAGGTTCACATCACCCTGAGCACCCACGAGTGTGGAGGGCTGTCGGAGCGGGACATCAACCTGGCCAGCTTCATCGAGCAGGTTGCAGCTTCCCTCTCCTGACTGGAGAGACAGGAAGCCAAAAAGCCACTGTGCCACTGCCACCACCCGTGTCTAGACAGCTGCCCCCAGAGCCTTGTCCTGCTTCCAAGCTACATCCTGGGATGCAGACTGCCTGACACCTCACTCATCCCCCCTGCCCCAGCTCACTTGGATGGAGGCCCTGCTCAGGGTGCACATACTGAGCTTGCAGATTCTGCCCTTAAAACCTTCCTTAGCCACGTGCTCCCAGCCCAAGTGCTGAGCCTTTCACCAGGAATCAGTCATATCACAGAAACACAGACCGGTTTGGGTTGGAAGGGACCTTAAAGATCATCTCATTCCAACCCCTGCCATTAGCAGGGACACCTTCCACTAGCCCAGGTTGCTCCAAGCCCCATCCAGCCTGGCTTTGAACACTTCCAGGGATGGGGCAGCCACAGCTTCTCTGGGCAACCTGTGCCAGGGCCTCACCACCCTCACAGGCAATAATGTTTTCCTAATATCCAATCTAGACCTCCTCTCTGTCAGTGTAAAGCCATTTCCCCTTGTCCTGTCACTACATGCTCTTGTGAAAAGTCCCTCTCCATGTTTCTTGTGGGCTCCTTTCAGGTCCTGGAAGGCCACAGTTAGGTCACCCCAAAGCCTTCTCCTTTCCAGGCTGAACAATCCCAATTCTCCCAGCCTTTCCTCATAGTAGAGCTGTTCCATTCCTCTAATCAACTTGGTGGCCTCCTCTGGACTTGCTCCAACAGCTCCATGTCCTTCCAGAGTCATGTTATGCAATTGCACCAGTAAATCTTTCCCAAGCCTGACTCCATCCAGCCACTGTGTTGTTGCTTCTAGAATATGCTTTCTGCCTAAAACATGTTTTGTGAACCCCTTGGTCTCTCTGTAACAAACCAGCAAGGTGATGTGCAGTTGGTCATCCCTGTAACCCCTCTCCAACAGTATTACAAGCAGGCATGTGGTCTCACCCCAACTGGAACCGGCCTTTAGTAAGATACCAAGTGATAATGTTTACAATAAATGTCTTGGTTAACCTGATGTCAGCTTGGAAAGAGGCCTCACTGATCAAATGACACCAACAGGTCTCCCCGAGGCAGGTACTGCTCTCAGAAAGGGGCTTCTGCCATGGGAAAATTTCACAGAGAAGCAGCACATGCCTTGGCCTCAAAGTGATCAGGGTCTGAAAAAGCAGATTATCAAAGCCAGAGCAGGTAAAAAATGCTCATGTACAATCACATGTGTGCCACAGCCAAGGCACAAACACAGGGAAGGGACAACCAAAAGGTACAAAAGCAGCACAGCAACAGGCCAGGGGTTGCTTACGTCCCAAAAAGAGTTTGGGGGTGGATTTGCTGGTACAAGATCTTCAGTAATACAATGATCAACTTGATGTGAAACCAACAGTAGCTGCTTTCAGCACAACAGTCTGGAAAAAAACATTACAAATACCCAGTTCAGATCTGATTTTTTTCCTCTTTTTTTTTTTTTAACCCTTTAAAGTTCTACAAAGCATTAGTAGAAAATCCACAGCTCTTAAATGAGAGCTTTCAGCATCTTTGAACATCACACACACAAGACGTAGCCACAGACACCCTTTATCTTGACAGAATGACAGAGCAGACCTCAGGCAGAGTTGTTAAGATTAATAAACCATCCCTACCTCCTAGAGCCCAGGCTGTGCATGAGCAAAGACCAGGAACAACAGGTCCCCAGTCATTCAAATGACCATCAAAACAGGAAAATAAGAGCTCAAGGAGCCTAGATAGCTAAACACACCATTTTAATACAAACTAGGCCCATTTTCACCATCTCTTCAGCTATTTCAGCCTCCAGTTTTACAGTGGCAAATCAGAGAAACACAGAAATACTGCCATCAGGTGAACTCATCCTGTTTGTTCATTAAAAAGTCCATGTGGATTTATTGGGCAGGATATTATTGTGTTGTACGCAACCCTTCCATTCCCCTCTCCCCCACGTCATCAGAAAAGTGCAGATGAAATCCATGGCATGAAGACACACATCTCTTCTTGGTCCATCCCATTGGATATTCTTCAGTCTAGTACCTAAGAGCAGGCAAATCCCTTGGAAGTTCTCTGTACAAGCAACAAATTCAGTGTCCAGCTTGGAAAACCTGACAGCTGGAAGTCTCACGGGAATCAACAGTCATAGAAATCCTTCCAGGTCCAAAGTACCATCCAGTCTCAGATCATAATCCAGTTCATCAAATTCTTCTTTTTTGTCTTTTAAGTAATCACACAGCCTGTTAATCCATTTTTCTAAGACCATTTGGCATGATAAAGGAGATGCAGATTACATGTGAGGTGACCAGGATGAATAAAGACTACACACAAGTAAATTACAGTGGCCCGCTCCTGACCACAGGATTACATTACAGTATAGAACAAACACACATGAAACAACTAAACCCACAAATATTATTAATAAGCAAAGCCCAGAATAGAATACATTGTCTGACAAATAACATCTTCAAATACTTCCAGAAATGTGAAATGGAGCACTGATCTGTTAGATCCATCTACTTCCTGGGAGGAAAAAATGCAACTAGGGAAGGAAGAGATTTTCTCTCTCCTTCAGCCCACCCCTGATCCATCCCTTCTTTCTTTCAAAGCAGAAACAAAAAGAGTACCTCCCTTTTTTGCTTTGTTTTGTTAAATCTCAGTTCAAAAGAGAACCATCACAGTAGCCAGACACTTAAGACTGTCTCCAAAGTACTGCAAGCTCAGAGATGCAGTAATGGTCACACTGGCAAGACCTTGACAGAATAAATGGGTCCAGTACAAACTGTCAGAGCTGATAACCCCATCAAGAGACTCTCAAGCAATTCAGTGATTTCAAAAGGGCCCAGAGACACGCATCAAGTCATCAATTTCAGGGCAGATGGTCAAAATACTTTTGTTTCCCAGCACTGAGAATAAAGCTGTTGGAAAGGCAGTATTCTTACCACAGTGGCTGGGCCCAGGGCTGCACTGGTTTGTGCAGTGGCTGGTAAGTGACTTTCTCATCCTGTAAAATTACTGTGCAAGTGTGTGCTTCAGCAAGGGTCAGCTTCAGGCAACAGGCCCTCTACAGCAGAGAAATGTCTTCTGATACCCTGTGCAGACATGGCGTGAAATCTTTGCCCACGTATGGAGTTCTGCCTGGAAAACTCGCTGTTCCAAGCAAAAAGCTCAGAGGAAACATGGGAAAGCCCTGCAGGAGTAACTCTGCTGGTATTTAATAACTTAAGGAGATTCTGGCTTGGCCTTGAGGCTACAACTGCCTCACAAGCTGCACTGGGAAAATGATCTCACCATAAAAACAACAGAGAAAAATAGGAAGGCTGAGCCCTATCCCCAAGGCTTGAGCACCTCCAACTTGCTGCAGAGCTCTCCCAGCATCTTTGTAATACTGTGAAGGGACTTGGCTCAATACAACTACTACCCTACCTTACAGGCAGGTGTCCTTCCTCTGAGGCCAGCCTGCCTTTGCTGTTTATTTTCAGCATAGTACCATAAAGAGACGACCGCAGCCGAGGCCACGGCCAACAGCTGAACCCTCCGGCCCTCCCTGGCATCCCACAAAAAAAAAACCAAAACAACAAAAAACAACAAGCCAGAGAAGCATCAAGGCACAATGGTGAATGCCCTTTTGAAGAATGTGCCTTAAAAGAATCAGTGCAAAGATTACTGCTAATACAAAAGTCACCTTTTTGATACTAAAAGATCGTGGTTAAAAACAAACAAACAAAAAAAAGAACCGTCAGCTTTGGCACCGTCCGTTTGCACGTGACATCCAGGGCCTGGCTAGCTCTGCTACAGCATCACGAGGGGACAGTGGAAAACCTTCAAGTTATGAGAAGGGAAATTGGTTTTACACCTCCCTCCGGAATTGTGCAAGGTAAGAAACAGCCCTCCAGGTGGTAAATGCATGTCTTCTGGAAGAGGCAGGGAAGCAAAACAGCTACGATGTACCCAGGATTTTCAGTACCATCCAGCTCCTCTCCCTACACCACCCGCTTGGGTTTCTATTTCTGCTGCTATTCAAGAGGTTCCAGAAAAGGATTTTGTGTTGTTTTTTTTCTCCCCCTCAGAAGATATTGATTGCAGTCTCACTGAGATCTCCAGAGGGGGTTTCAAAAGGAGTCCATGACCATCTTCCCTTTCCCGATTTATCAGCTCTGCATTACACAGATATAAGGCTCCCAGCACGGTCTGTTAAATGCAGTAGCTTAGAGGAGTACTCAAAACAAAACAAAATTTTCAATTTATTTCCTACCTTTAACTTCTGGAAAGATTGAAGCTTTGGAACACAACATGAGAACTCAAATCTAACACTTGGCTGGACACTGGCTGAATACCAGGTCTGAGGAGGAGGAACAGCAAGGAATGAAGTGACACGCAGAATACCTGAGGAATTTGGAGTTGTGGAATGGACATTCAACTGACCATCAACAGCCATGATAAAACAGGCAGGGGGAGGGGAAGAAAATCCCTAAAAATGAAGTTGGGCATGAAAATAATGTGGATTTCAGAACAGACTAAGACAGGGAAGGAATTCTTCCAGATCAAGCCACGCTCAGACCTGCAGTTGTAGGAACAAAGGCTTACTGCAATCTCTTCCCTAGGAAACTTTTTGAACCACTCCAGTGCCAGCTGGCAAGGCATCCATTGTTGCTCTACAGTCAGTGGTGGCTGGGAGAGCCGTTCATGTGCTTTTCACTGCAAGGAACATCCGTGCTGTAGAGGCCATCCAGGTACGCCTGGGAAATCTCTGCTACCAAGCTCCTGTCTGGGACAGACTGGGCCATTCCATAGATAGCTCCCTAAGCAGAGAAGAGCAGGCTGTTACAAAGGAGAAACATGCCCACCCCCCAAGAACATCCCCTCACTGTGTGCTGGCCTCCTCACCATGCCTGTGGTCTTGGCGTTGAGGTCCTTCACGATGTCCTCGATGCTGTCTCTGACATCCTTCAGGAACTCTTCAGCAACGCCAGGCTTCGTGTGCAGCTGAGTAATGCAGAGGTGGATGCTGGGTAGGCAGGGCAGAGGGAGAGATTAACCACCTCCAGAACATACAGCTCCCTATTTTCCAAGCAACTGACAGCACTTTAGTCCTTCTGTGAGCAGTGATAACCATGCATCTCCCTAAAAAAGCATTCCCTAAGCACCACTAAGGGTAATCCCTGCAAAATACTTACAGGAACCAAGCTTGGAGAGTTCAGCTCTTCTTCTGCAAATGTCAGCTCCTCCTCCTTTCCTTCCTGATTTCACCATTACATTAAAGGCCTATCATTTTCTCACCTCATTCCAGGGACCTCTGGTGAGAAAAATGCAGCTGCCTGCAAGGATGGTAATCCTTGCCATCATTTCCCTCTCCTTC